TCGTGTCCCAGTAGTACCACAGCAGGACAGAGTAAGTTCGATATGCTATCCATCAATCACATTTTAGAGGCACAGTTCATGAAAAAAAGATCAACGATTTCCCCAACGGGTAAGCTGTCTCCTCCAAGTGTGCTCCATTGAGTGCTGTCAAGTCAACAAAAACTTAGATAAGGCACAGTGAGCGCTCAAAGACCGACTTCTGCCCACACATGAAGACATACTAGTTCTAACGGCGTTGCAATGGCTGCACCATCCTCATAAGACACCCATGTTGGAAATTTAAACAACTAGTTGTGACTCATGGTAACAGTGGGAGGTAGTTGTGGGAATACTAGACTGAACATAGCCAGTTCATTACGCAGCTAGCCTGCATATTTTACAAAATTTGTGGATTTTCTCACTTTTCTTGCAACGACGCACTATTCCCCATCAATACTTCCACTTTTGAGTTCAAAAAGGATCACTTCAATATCACCGCCAACTGCGCCTTTGAAACGCGAGGTCAGAATCAACTGAATGACTTTCTTGGTGTTGAGAATTTGGTCTTTCAGTCTCTATGAAACCGAGCTTCAAATCTTAATCTTAAATATAATAATTTAGATGTGGCAGCTGGACAGCTCTGGCTATGGCAAAGATGTACTGAATTCGGCTTCTACGGGACAACTGACTCCGGCTACAGTCTTTTCGGAAACCCACTACCACTGAAGTACCGATTTGGCTGCTTTCATAGCATTTTCTTTGAATCGTCTAAGATTGCATATGTGACCAACTGTGCCCTGCTTTTTCGGCAGTCCGTTCCCGTGAAGATACAGAAGTGTAGCACCTACTCTACTGAAGGGATGTGATTTGTCAGTCTCCATTTAAACATAAGACATGCCCAGTACCCAAGAATTGAATTTGAATGTAGTACTCTTGCCTTTGGAGCGAATTTCCTACCATCAATATCGGTACTGGGCCATGAATTAGTTTCCAGTTGGGGATTATCAAAGTCCGACTGTAAAATGAAAATACCAATACCATTGGGGATTGAATCTCCTCCTAGCACCTGCATATTAAAGACTTTCCAGCTTCTTTACGCGACTGTGCTCGGATATATTCGGCTGGCGACATATAGATTATTCTGCGATGACGAATGAACGAGCTACACTCAACACGAATAACCTGTACGGCGGCCGATACAACTACAAGGTAAACCACAGTTGTTGGAATATCCACAAGGAGAAAGAAACAAGGAACCTGTTTTCTAGGCAACAAATGTTGTGATGACATATGGCTCCCTCGACCCATGGAAAGCTCTAGGCAAGGTGGCATGCGAAGAATCTGACAACTGCTTCATGATTGAAGGTGAATGCATAGGATAATGTAAAGGCAAAGTAGGTCAATACTTAGGAAAAGTCTAGAATATAATACCAAATACATGGATGACTCAGTATCAACGAGGAACTCCAAAATTTGTACCTACAGACGCCTTCTTCAACCGTAT